TGTATGTCTTCTTTGGAAAAAATGTCTATTTAGGTCTTTCGCTCATTTTTTAATCAGATTGTTTGTCTTTTTGCTATTGAGTTGTATAAGTTTCTTATATATTTTGGATATTAACTCCTTATCAGACACATAGCTTGCAAATATTTTCTCCCATCCCGTGGGTTGCCTTTTCATTTTGTTGATTATTTCTTTCGCTGTGCAGAAGCTTTTTAGTTTGATGTAGTCCCACTTGTTTATTTTTGCTTTTGTTACTTGTGCTTTTGATGTCATATCCAAAAAATCATTGCCAAGACCAACGTCAAGGGGCTTTTTCCCTATGTTTTCTTCTAGAAGTTTCAGATCTTATGTTTAAGTCTTTAATTCATTCAAATTAATTCTCATGAGTGGTGTAAGATAGAGATCCAATTTCCTTCTTCTACTTATGATTATCCAGTTTTCCCAGCACCATTTATTGAAGAGACTATCCTTTCCCCATTAAGTATTGCTGACTCCCTTGTCATGTATTAGTTGACTGTATGTGCACGGGTTTATTTCTGGGCTCTCTATTCTATTCCATTGGTCTATGTGTCTGTTTCTTGCCAGTACCATATTGTTTTGATGACTGTAGCTTTGTAAAATAGTTTGAAATCAGGAAGTGTGATGCCTCTAGCTTTGCTCTTCTTGGGATAGTTTTGTCTATTTGTGGTCTTTTGTAGTCCCATATGAATTTTAGGGTTGTTTTTCCTACTTCTGTGAAAAAATGCATTAGAATTTTGTGCACTGAATCTATAGATATTTCTGGTAGTATGGACATTTTACCAATGTTAATACTTCCAATCCATGAACATGGGATATCTTTTCATTTATTCACCCTCTTCAATTATTTTCATCAAAGTCTTGTAATTTCCTAGGTAGAAATCTTTCACCTCCTTGGTTAAGTTTATTCCTGAGTAATTTATTGTCTTTGATGCTGTTGTGATGGGATTATTTTCTTTTTTTTCAGATGTTTTGTTGTTAGTGTATAGAAATGCAACTGATTTCTGTATGTTGACTTTGTATCTTGAAACTTTACAGAATTTGTGTGTTAGTTGCAAGAATTTTTTAGTGGAGTCTTTGGGACTTCCTATCGATAACATCATATTACCTGCAAACAGAGATAATTTTACTTTTTCCTTTCCAATTTCGATGCCTTTTATTTCTTTTTCTTGCCTAGTTGCTCTGGCTAGGACTTTCGGAAGTATGTTGAACAGGAGTGGTGAGAGTGGGTGTTCTTATCTGGTTCCATATATTAGAGGAAAAGTTTTCAATGTTTCATCGAAAAGACTTAAAAATCATCCAGTTTAACTCCTACATTTCACAGATGATGAAACTTTAGTCCCAAGAGGCCATGAAACTTCCACAGCATTTCACAGCTACCAAGACCAGAGCATGAAGAATTTCAGTCAATCTAAAATCTGAGATAACCAGAAAGTTCCAGCATGCTTAACTCTGAAAAAGCTATTCCCATCTCATGAGACTGTTCTTTCATCACACTAATCCAACTGTCACTCCTTTGTTCTCATCTGTCACCACTAGGCATATGTTTCATGAAGGAAGAGACTGCGCATATGTCATTTTACATCATATTCCCAGCATCAGCACAGTGACCTGGCGTGTAGTATGTGCTCAATAAACTATTTATTGACTTGGATAGAAATGTACAGGCACATAGCACAATCCAAGGGACAAGCTAAATTGTTACACTGTGCATCCTAGAATTATGTGCAGGGCTTTAGCTAAATGTTAAGCTTCTCACTATGACTCTGAAAGATAAGGAAGTTTTGTTATATAAAGATTTGCCACCCAAAGATACAAGGTGGAATGTGCCCAGTGAGTCGTGCTTGAGAACGGGTGGTTGAGCTATTCTCAATAGAACCTCCTGTCTATCTGAGAGAGAACTCAGTCTACAATGAATGGGACCAGGTAATATTTAGGTAAAGATGGTCCAGCAACTCAAGGGCTGAACCTGAAGCTTAAGGGAAAGCTACATACTACATACTGTGAGCACCCTGGAGACCACCTTCAGGCCAGAGACACGTCTCCACTGCCATCCATTTGCAAACCTCACTGCCAGTCATGCTGAGGTTTGCTCATAGCTGTCTTGCAAGCAGTTTGATACTCCCTCTCATCCTGGAGGTGAGGTGTCAGTGATGATAGAGAAGTCCTGTGGCTCTGTAGGAAAGCTTCTATGAACTGTCGCTAACCTGACGTATGAATTCAAACATGCCATTTGTCAGCAGCCCTTTCCCAGCACCTTTGCATGGTAATACTGCTTCTACTCAACATAAAGGGTCTGGCTGTGGGACGCAAGAAATGGATGGAGGGAATTGCAAATGACTCGCTCTCTCTGAGGCTCAAATTCATCATCTGTGAAATAACAATGGTAAAGATGTGCCCAAACCACCTCACCAGATGGTTGTAAGAAAGACATCTTCAGGAATGTAAAGTCTATACAATTATAAACCAGTGTTTTATTTCTCTAGAGCCTTCCACTAGGTGTTGTGGGGTTGACAAAATGAACAATACAACACAGCCCTGCCCTTCAAGGCACCTATAGTCTAGTACACACATGTAAGTATTTAGTACACTCATCTAACAGAGTCAAAAAATTTATACATACCCACACAATTGTTCTGTTACCAAATATCTTTGTAAAGGAATCCGATATAGAACACATTGCAGCACAAATTAAATAATCTTTGATTGATTTTGAATACCTCAGACTATTTTGCCTAGATAAGCATAAAAACTTTTACATTTTTTGGAGGGAGGAATAAAAAATATAAGAAACAACTGTCTTTTTATGTTAAATGCTATAAGTCGATTCAGAATCAGGCATAACTAAAGTGGATCAGAAAGATGTGCCAGATTACATATCTCCCCCTTACTTCCTTTCAGGATCAGTATTGCATAAGTTCACAGATCACAGCTTGACCGATAAAAGTCATACACTGCAATACAGACTGGAGAACTTACATTGAAAAAAGGGGATTTTTTTTCCCTTATCAAAAAACAGGCATATTTGATACTTGACCAACACTGTTTAAAGTGGATTATTTCTCCGTTTGGCTTCGTGATGAGTGCAAAGACAAAAATCTCTGAAATTTATAAACAAAAGTTTCTTTCTCCCTCAGAGTTCTAGGCAGAAAAGAGCCTTCGCTGACTCTGAGACATACTACAGCTTGAATGTTACAGGCCCATAAAACATATTTATTGTTGTTGAGGCTCAAAATTTCCATCCTACTGCATTTGAACACTGAGCTGGAGTTTATAAAAATAGCATCGGCAACACTGCCAACAAGATCCTATAACCTTAACATGAAGTAAATATGAAAGTAGAAGAGAAATGTAACCTTTTTAAAGTTCTCTCTATGCAAATATCATGCAGAAGTCACTGACTACTGAACACTCCCACGTCTCTTCGATCTCTGATCTGCCCTGAAAAATCATCACGGCAAGCTTGTTATTTTGATCTTTCACAAATTTATTTAAATTCCTATTCACTTTCTGTGATGATCTCTGTACCTGTACCATCATCTAGTAATAGTACATTTCTTAAGAGTCCAACGCAGTCATAACCACAAAATCACAAAAGAAGACTTTTATTAAACTTCTGGGTCTATTTATCCTTTGAGACCAAATCATCACCATGCTCAAGCCATCTCTAAAATGATCCATTAAAATGAAATATACTAACGGTAGCAAAATATGTGCGGAGACTCGTGGGGCCACAGACTCCTTTCCTCGCTCCCCATTTATTTGAATTCATTTATTTGCATGAGTTCATGTCCAACATTGTTGGGGGTTGGGACTGAAAGAGAAGAACTTCAGAGCTTAGGCATCCGTAAAGACGTGGGAAGCCAGGTAGATGGAGGGGGATGCTGTCTGTTTCCCAGGCAGTGCCGGAAACTCAGTCTGACACTCTATCGAGACGCTGCAGGATGAGGCCGAAGGAGCAATTTTGATGAAAGCCACTGTGAGACTCAGGTCCAAATTGTGCTGCCTCCAGGCTGAAGTGATGAAGTGTGACACACAGACAGAGGCCCTCCCACACACACACTCTAGCACAGACCTCACAGCAACTCTGATTCCACGGTGAGCAGCCCTGGAGAACTGTGGAGCCCAACAGAGCCCAGATGGAGCAATGGAAGGGAGCGGGGCGTGCACAGGAGGTCCTGTTGGTGTCCAGGGGTGGCTCTCAAGAACTATTAATGTTAATTTGACCTCATGTGCGCCCATAGATAAATGAGACCTAGGCACAGCCAGGTTCCCTTTGTGTATGGAATATGGAGCTGAACATGCACCATCTCCCCAAAACATATGAGTGGTATTTGCTAAGTTTACATTTAAAATTTGAGCATCACTTCTGGAATACATGGCAGTAAGGTAGCTAAATTGCTCACTGATAATACGAAGCTGTAGCTCCTTTCTCTGGGACAGACTCTTCACCAATGCGAACAGACCTCTTCTGTGTATTACCAAATAATTTCCGCAGCGTATTTTAATGCGGCTTCTAAGGGTGGCTAATTTACTATTAAGCAATTGCTTAAGCATTAGGAGAATCTGGCTCCCTGTCATTTAAAATGCGTTCAGTATTTGAAAAACCTAAATATTATGGCTTATCTTCATATAATGATTGGTGTCCATAATTATGAGTGTCAACATATAAATCTAGAATTTGGCCTTCGTGTGATGGACAATGAAGAAGGGAGAACTAAGCACTCTTGATAAGCTACTCTAAGAATGTAGGTAGGCACTAGATCAGTAAATCAATGACACAAAAGGAAGAACACTTCTTGACTCTGTGTGTGTGTGTGTGCTTGTGTGTGTGTGCGTGCGTGTGTGTTGCAACATCAGAAGTCACTTAGTAACGGGCTACAGGAGTACCCTACACAGAGGAGAAAAATTCAGAACCCAATATTTCTTCCAGCTTCTGACAGGGGCTCTGACAAAGAGGAAATCATCTAAATACCCAAGAAAACTTTGTTTTTATGCTTCTTGGTTTATTTTCGGTTTTTGTACAAGAGATTATTAAAATTTATACTAGTAAAAATGTACAAATCTTTCCTTTTGGATCACCACCGGCCCCTTAACAGTTAATAAAGAAGCTGTGTTTTCCCTGAATTAGATAAAACAACATCCAGATCCAAAACTAAAAGAGAGAATTACTAGCACACTTTGCTGAATTAGTAAATCAAGGCCTTTTCTTATTCTAGAAATTTGTGTACAATCAAAAGTGTAACATTCCCTTAAACAATACAATTGAGGATTTTTACCCAGTTGTTTAATTGAAGAATATTTTCTTGTGCAAAGAAGATCTTACTATGGATCTGTATTTTAGCATTTTGAAAGCATGCCTTTGTGAAAAAATTCCATAAACGAAGAAAATATTTCAATGTGTCAAATTCAACAATCTGCTTATGTTGGTAACAGGAAACACACGAAGTCTTTCAGGAAGTCCAACTTTAAGACTATTTGAAATGACCAATGACCAAAAAAATGAGTTTGCCTGAGCTTTCTTTTTGATGTCAGTGACGTATTAAGGAAAAGAAAAAGAAAGACACTCTCGTCAAAATAGCATTTCATCTCCCCTGATTGGGTCTGTTCACAAGCGTAACAGCTGTAACTCAAGTTTTCTTGAGCAGTTAACCTTCCAGCCTTGATTAAAGATACTCAGGACCAGGCCACATTTGTGCTAAAAATGTTTCCTTTTTTTAAAACTCTTCTGCTGAAACAAATGCACTTCTCCGTCACTCGTAATGTGATACTAGGTTCAGTCTATCGTGCCAAATATCACGGAAACCTTGGAAAAAACTGCCCTTATCATCTCGCAAGAAGCCAAAATAGGAAATGGCTATTGCAAGGCATTGTAGACCCACCATATCAAATTGGATGATGTATGCAAAAGTACACGGTAAACGGTAAATAAAGCACTACATGCATGCAAAGTATTCAAAGTACTGGGGAAGCTTTCTTCATGATGATGATGATGGTAATAAAGCTATGACTTATTGAGTGATTTTATTATGTGCCAGCCACTGTGCTAAGCACTTTACACGTATTTGCTCATTTCTTACTCACAACAATCGGTTAATGTAGAGACTATTACTATCAGCACTTTACAGATGAAAGCTCAGAGAAGTTGAGTCAATTGCCTAAAGTCACACAGCTCATCAGCCTATTAGCAATAAACTAGTTCTTCATGCCCTCATGCAAATGAAAGTGCTGGCAAAGAATTCACGGATCACGTCTAGTTATATTATGTGATCCAGGTAGCCCAACATATGGTCATATTACTCTTTGGTTATTGAAGTAAATGGACACATACACGTGTACACACACACAGACACACAAACTTATTCAGATACCCGAGGATATGTCAGGTATTCTTGAACTACCCATAGATTTGCTCTTTTTCTTTGAAAATGACTCAATGAGTCATGTGACTTTGCTGTGGAAAGGCTTTTTCTGGCATAAAGTAACCTTACACTAAATGTTTGATAAATGAGCACATGCTCCCTGGTACAGCAGTATCTGCCTTACTTGCGTGGCACGTTACACAGAAATCTTTGGTTTGTAAATGACAAAAAGTCAACTCAAACCAGCTAAAACCAGAATAGTGCTTGATTAGTTCATGTAAGTGAAGAGTCCAGAGACCTCTGGTTTCAAGCATGGCTGGAGGTAGGCGCTCAGGGAATGGCATCTCGTCCATCTCTCTATTGCTCCTGCTCTGCTTTGTTTTTCTCTTCACTGGCTTCCTTCTCAGTCAGGCTCTTTCCACCAGCAGTAACTGGATTATATATGGCTCTCCTAGAAATGGGAGCACCTCTTTCTTTATATCACCAACCAAAGTCCCAGGGAAGCCTTCAATTGACTTGGCCTGGATCATATACCCATCCTTGAACTAATCACTGCCTTCCGAGGGATAAGGCATCTGATTGGGCAACCAAGAAGGAGGAGGAGGAGGAAGGGAGGAAAGGAGGAGAAAGAGTAGGAGACGGAGATGGTGGTGATGAATAGAAGTGTGGCGCAATAGTAGCCTCTCTTAGCCCAGAGAGGTCTTGCTGATTTTTGTCTCCAATGTTCTCTCAAAAGTTTAGCTTCCAAGAAAGGAAGCAGATTATAGATCATTTCATCCTCCTTTTCAGATTTTGTTCTTTATTTATGCCTGCCTTATTTACTGTATTTAAAGGAAATGGACACAGAACTTTGAAGAAGACAAGGCTTATATGGATGATGCCATCCAGGAGGGACATTGTTTCTTTTCCTGCTTCATTATACTTGGTGGTAATTACTATCCATACCACGGTGACACTTAATTATACTATTCCAATAAGTCTACCTTCCTCTTGCAATTCATAAATTAACAAAAGAAGACCACAGAGTGTGCCCCATCACACATTTGTAATTTTTTTTTCTCAGATTCTAGGAAAATGATGGGAGTTTCCCTGTGGTCCTTTCTCACACAGTAATATCCTTCTGCCCTACTGTGTGCAAAGCTCTCATTTACTGGAAGAGCAGCTACACTTCTGTGCAGGGCCAAAGAGTTGGGGATCAAGGAAATTCCCAACTGGTTTAACAAGAATGAGCATCACACTTTTGTAAAGCTCTACAGGGACCAAGTGACAAAAATTGGGTCTACAATAAGAATTGGGAAAAATTGGGGACGTGCCCTCAGGAAGTGAGGGTCTGTGATGATTGAGAGTTCAGACAAGAGCAAATGAGTATCCCAGTCTATTCCGCTTCATTCCAGTCTCACATTTTTCATAAGACTTCTTCCCAAAAGAGAGAGAGCGAGGCCCAGTGGAAAGCTATTCCACAGCCACGCAGTTACCTGTCCTTACGCCTGATCCTAAAGCCCCCACAACACTACTCTCAGTAGATCATCTACCTCCCCGTGGCTTTTTTTTTTAATTGAGGCCATGACTTTTTTCTCGATCTTTCCTTTTGCTTTCAGATCCAGGGGCAGAACACTGGATAAGTCATGTTCCTGTACTCATAGCATGCTGTCATTTTAAGTTTGTACAGGCCCTTCGCTCATTTGTTCATCACCTGTCATCCCATTTCCCTTCACCCAGTTTGTCCCCAGCCCACAAGCAACAGCACTATTAGCTTTGATGATATCCTTGAATGTGTACGTATCCTCGTGAAACACATAGTATATCCTTGTTCTGTGTGTGTATTTTTAATTTATACAAATGATGTCCACAGACTTTGTTCTGTTCTTTTTCTCCCAACACAGTTTTTAAGATTTCTCTACACTACTTCAAACTGTTGCACAGTGTTGCGTGGTAAGCCTCCCTAACATCTTATCATCTCTCCCGCCTGACGAACTCCTAGGCTGCCACCATCCTCACTACCACAAACAATACTGTGATGCCATCCTTATCCAGCCCCCTCAGGGACCTGTATAAGAGTTTCTCTGGGCTCTACACCCAAAAGCGCCACATGGGACTGATGGATAGGTCTCCATCTGGCTCCCCTGCCCTGACTACTCTATGGAGGACCTACCATGGCCACAGCATCAGCTTCATATCATGCAAACAGGAGAATCTGAAGCTAAAAGAGGTTAAGTGATATGCCCAACGTCACATAGAGTCGGGATTCCAAGCCAAATTACTCTGACTCCCAGCTTTGCGCCCTTCCACTGGAGCAAACTGCCTTCCGCAGGGATCTTTTGATTCAGTGGCCTATGCTAGAGGCAGCAGGGACACAGTAAGAAGACCAGAAAAAGCATCCTTTCCCTTTACCAGGCATCCATTCCCCCCAGCCTGCAGGGAGTGGAGATCGACCCTGCCAGAGGGGCTCAGGATCCCCAGCCTGGTGCCGGCAACGATGTGTGATCAGAGGTGAGGGATAGCCCCATTGGCTATGGGCCCAAGGAGCTTAGCCCCCCTCGCACCCCTGATGCAGGCAGATTAACAGCTGCCATCTGGCAAGCAGAGTCTCTCCACGCAAACTGCAAACCCCGCCCTCTGGGTGAATCACTAGTGTGTCCAATAGCAGTCAGGCCCAATGAAACTTTGATGGCTCTATTAATGAAGATGAAAACTTGAGATATGCCAAATGCAGATTAAATGGCATCTTGGTAACATGATTATCTCTGAATTACTAGCTGCACAGTGAGACAGCCAAGTGACTAATCCTGGGAAGGCTGTGCGCTTTAGATGCAGGATCCCCTACTTCCAGCCTCCAGAACGTGGTTTACTGCATCAGAGTGGCACTTCACTAAACGGAACACCAAGAGTGCCTTCCTCTGTAGATGGCACTCTTCTTCAGAGAAGATTTAATTTCTTGAAATTTTGAGGCTCCAAATTCAGAGCTATCTGCAACAAGATGAGTGAGAACACGTCAGGAAAAAACAAGAACAAACACAAGAATCTGGCAAATGTTCACGTATACAGCATTGTCGATAAAATTAGCAGAAATGACAGCATAGGAATGATAGAGAGGGAATTCTAAAAGCCACAAGTCACTCTCTCCTGCTTTCTTTCCACTTCTGTCTTTAGCTCGCCGTTATTCAAAATGCCATTCTATCCTAGTGCTTTTGATACCTTTGCACATGTAATTTCTATGAGGTAGGCATTATCGTTCCCATTTTCCATCTGAGAAAATTAAGGCTTGAAAGTGTTAGTAACTTGTCCGAAGTTACTGAATATCTAGTACCTGGCCAAGCTGAGACTCCTCCTTGGGTCTGTCCATGTCCAAAGTTAGTGCTCTTGAGGAAGTGCCATGGTTTGACTTCTCAATTTTAGGAAGCTACAGAGAATTTTGAGAGGTTCCAAGAATTATTTCTAAAAGAACGGAAAGCCAGCCCCAGTAGAAAGGTTATGAAAATTCCATCTGTAAGATACAAGATTGGGACTTGTCAAGTGGTGGTGTACTGGGAGAGAGGGGCTGTTGGTGAAGGTCTGTGAATAATTCGACAATTAAAATGTCTTCCAATTTTGCTGGAATTGTGTAAGAAAGTCTTTACTTGGCAGCTATGGAATGGACTATGTATGAAAGCTCCAAGAATCCCATTTAGACCCGAATGTCTATAAATCTTCTTACGGTTTAATCATAAGAGGCCAAGGACATGGATTGGTGGCATGGCACGTGGTTTAAATTGTGTATCATATAAAGTTATCTACATACATCTTGAGAAAGCTCCACACTTCTCCTTTCTCTTGAAGTGCATTTCCGTGGGCACCAGATATATGAACAAACACAGGCTCTAAGACATCTGATATACTGTACCTTTCCAATCAGATGCGTAATTGCGGTAGGACTGTTATTGCTTACGTTTCACACTATCACTAGCAACTTTAATTTCTGGTTAAGTTCTTGAAATCTCTCTCTGGAAAAACAAATGAGATCACACTCTCCATTCTCCTGGTTAACAGTGTCATTATCACGTTCAGATCCTCAAACAATTAACTAAATTCCATTGTCATTCTGAATTTCTTCTCTCTGGTGATGCATCCGCAAACGTATTCAGTCTTCTGCCTTCCCAACGGACAAAAATTTCTAGAAACTACCATAAACGGCACATAATTGTAAATGACTTTAAAAAGCCATATGGAAGGATGAATAACCTTCTTTTTTTTTTTTCCATCTTTCCCAAATATCCTCTAGCTTTGTGTTTTGCAATACCTTTTGCACCCAGCTTTGGTCAAAATTGTTGTTGGCCAGTTGCCAGTTTAAAATGTCCTACAAAATGAATTGCTTCTTTCGTAAATAAGAAAAAACTTTGGGAAATATTGCTTTGAAATACTGTGCTGGAGTCATGGCTAGCCTGGAGCACTTTCTGTGGGGGCAAAGGAGGGTGGTGAGTTTAGTGTCTGCTCAGCATGTATAAATCACGATCCAGGTAATATTTTGTGCTTGCCTTCATATCTTCTAGAGGCTGTAGTTTGGGCTATCACAAATATTCTTTCAAGCAACAATCACATATTTCCTATGTCAGGATGGCCTTTCATTTGGGGTTAAAATTTCAAATGACACCAGTACCAAATAGAAATTAGGACAAATTTTTAACCACCAGTTTCTTGGCTGAGGGCTTCATAAGGACACTAAGATTTTCAAAGAAATGAGTTCACCCACTTTTATTGGCTTCCTTTTCTTAATTTTTACTTTAAGAAGTTAGTCTATTCCTCTTACAGTTTAAACGCCAACCTCTTCTAATATTATTCTTACAAGGTAACTTCTGACTTGGCCACTCTCCATCTTCCCTCTTCCCCATATCACCCTATGCTTTTCAGAAAAAATTGTATCTCCAAATGGTACATCAAGGACAAATAGCAGAGTCGTGAGATCATTCTTAGACCAAAGTGGTTGTCAAAATTAACCCAATAATACAGTGCAGGGCAATTCATTTATAGGGCACGTTATCATATAAAAACTAGTGTTTTGTAATTTTTACGAACTTAGAAATGACAGTGGAAGCACACTAAAAGGAAACTTTTAAAACTCATATTTTAAAAGAGAAACAGTTCTCCATTGTTTCCCATTGAAACGCAATGGAATTACAGATGTACATACACCATGACCCACTAGGTAGGATTATTAAAATAACTTTCTTTCAATACTTTTCTTTCCAAATACAATTTTTCTTAAATCATATATCTTAATATAATATTCAAAATTATGAGGACAGAATGAAAAAACTTTATTGAGAAGATGGACTATTTAAGGCAGGATTGGATTGATGGCCAATTAAAACTGTATCTCCACACTTCCACTCATGATGTGGATTCTTTTTTTCACCTCTGAAAATTAGCAGAAATAAGATATATTATTCCAAGATATGTGCGCAGGAAATTGCCACTAGGTATGAACAAGAGACATCCAATCTCTCCATGCTAATGAAAATGCAATCAGTCATATCTAGACTGACAAGAAAAGACAAAACACGCCAAAGACTCAAATATTTAGAAAAGTAGCATTAAAAATCAACTCAGCCTCTAAGGAGTGAACCTGAACTAATCAATGAATGAGATGGGAAAGGCGTCAAGCTGTACTGATTTTAAGACCCTCTCCCATAGATTTTTTTGTACCCACCAAATTAAGAAAAATCTGTTTAAATGTCTACCTAAACTCATAAGAAAAAAATATGTGTAACATCTTGGCTTTCCTTGGACACATTTAAAAGAATAATGAGCTACTTGGAATCAATATATAAGTTTATGAAGTAATGCAAATGCTCCATAACACCCTTAGCCAAATCATAGCCAAATACTGAGCAAAAATACAGATATGAGAGCCTGTTGGATACGAGACATGAAGTTTCTTCATCTTCTATACCATATCTCAAAGGGTGTCTCCTCTGAAAGCCAAGTTTCATTCTGGGAAAGACCTTGCTTTAAAGACCAAGGCCCAGTATTCCAGCACCTTAGGGTAAAACAGAGAATCTAGACAGCATAGTTTTAGCGGAAATTTTAATGGAGACCAACATTTACTGATGTCACTACAAATGATACACTACCTTGAAGAATATTAACCAACTGGTAGGTTTCACTGCCGTGTGTGTGAGTGCGTGTGTGTGAGTGCGTGTGTGTGAGTGTGTTTTAATACAAATAAACTTGGCCACGAAACTCCTTCTTTAGTTGCTGGTGTATTTTTGTTTTCACATGTGGCACTGAACACATTTCTGTAGTTGTGAACAACTACATTTGATTAAAATCTGTCAGATTTATCTCTTTAGCAGGAGAAGAGAAATATGTGTTTCTCCAGAAAGGAAATCAATGTGTCTTTATGATAGATGCAGAGTGGAAAGCTGGATACTGTCACTTTAAGTGATGAAGCAGAGAGACAGGGTGGCTCCACAGCTATTGCCATTGGCTGCTGACATAATTGTAGTGAGGCAAAGCCCTGTTTAAATCTTATAATCCTTGTTTATAGGATAGACTTACATTCACTGACCTAATAGTTATTACTCCAACTTGTTAAATTACAAAGTCTTGCGTCTGAGGTGTCCACAGTTTGCTTTGTTTAAATTTTCTTAGTAATATGTTTTAGCCAGAGTTCTGCTCCACTGCGCTTCAGTACTATGAGAGAGAGTGCTCCCCTCCCCATAGGAAGGCACCAGGTCTTCAAGGGCAGACAACTGCAACAGGGAATCTCCTTTCTCAAGGCAAACCAGAGGAAGAAACCTCGAAAGCAGCCCCCAGTCTATGCCAGAGAAAAACGCAGCGGAAAGAATCCTCAAAGAGATGTCCTGGGAGACTGCTGCATGACAAAAATATGCCCAGAGATCTCCTCCCTCCTCTTGGGACCCACCCACCTCCCCAGGATCCCAAGAGGTTCCAGGTATAGCTGAGCTGGATAGAAAAGAAAGCTTCTGCCCGGGCATTGTGAGGTTCTAAGATTCTCCATCCAGAGACACTACAACCAGCAGACACCTACCCTATAAGACAATCTGAGAATATCAAGGTGAGCAGAGACATCTCCACAGCATGAATATTCGTTCCTCTGTGGTTACGACCAGCAAAACCATTCTAACGAGCTTATAAAGCAACGTCAGGATCTACGAACTCGTACGTCAATTAAAATTGCTGTCTCTCTTGTCTCATGAATGACATATGTCAGGAAAATATTTGAAGTGTCTATTTGTGGCCAATTTAATACTAATGTTCTATGGATAAGCCCCTTTCCTAAATAACTTTTAAAAAAATAATATGTTGGTTTGTGTTCCTTAATTAATGAATGTTTCTAGAAGGCATTCTACTGTTGTGAGTGTGCATGTGTGCCCTCTGCTTATTAACCCAAACCTGATCGAACCATTAAATGACATATTATGCAGAGTGCCAAGGGTTTGGAACATGGTAGATATTCTTCACAGGTTCCTTCTTTACTTATCACTGCTCTCTTCAACTTGCATATCCTACAAGTTAAAAAATCACAAATAACTAAACATTTGCCTAAAGCTAAATGACTCTCTCCCTTCCCCCCCCAACATCCACCTTCCACACTCATCTCTCTCCTACAATCTCCAAGCTATTCAAGAATCAGGATTTAAGAATTACACACTATGATCTTGCCATTTGCAACAACATGAATAGACCTTGAGGGTACTATGCTAAGTGAGATTAGTCAGATTTCATGATTTCACTCATATGTGGAGGATAAAAATAAAACAATGGCAAACATAGACACAGAGAACAGACTGGCAGTTACCAGAGAGGAAAGGGGTTGGGAGGAGGGTGAAAGGGATTCAGGGGGGACATCTGTACAGTGATGGATGAAAACTAGTCTTTTGGTGGTGAAAACGATGTAGTCTATACAGAAGTCAAAATATGATGATGTACACATGAAATGTATATAATATAAACCAATGTGACCTCAATAGAAAAAAAGAGTTACACATTGATAATACATTGACCACCATAACATACATTATAAATAATTGGAATCCTTCCCACAATATATAAAATGGAAATGATTAAGATATATTCTTGCTTTCTGGCAACGGTGTCACATGCTTTTCATACATTGATGGATTTGATTTGTTAATATTGTGTTTATAATTCTTTATAGAAGTTGGTCTTCAAATTCTGTACTGTCTTTAGAAGCTACCTTCACAAATGATTTTTGTATCTTTCCTTTCTTGTGATTATGATTTTATACAACACTGGAATTGATGTTTAAATTGATTTTTAAAGACTAAAAAGAATTCTTCTGCAAAACTGTCTAGGTCCCGTGCCTTTTTTAGTGACAGATCTTTTACCTTCAAGTCTCTTCTACAATAATTGACCTATTCATGTTTCTTAAAATGATCATTTTAAGAGTTCCAGTTTTCACTAGAAAATTATCTATTGCCACTAGGTTTTCAAATTTATTTCTATAAAGGTGCACATAATATCCACCAGTAAGTTTTCTCATCTTCTCCACATCTGTAGTTATATTTTCTTTATAATCTATATTTATCTCACTTTTTCTCTAATCAGGCCTGACAAGGGTGTATCTAGTGCATTAGTCTCTCAAAGAGCCTAATTTTTATTTTACTCACTGTTTTCCGTGGTTTTTCCTATTTTGTTAGTTTTAGCACTTACCTTTATTAATTCCTTCCTTCTACATTCCTATTTTATTTTGCTACTTTTGAATTTGAGTATTTTAAAATTTACTTTTGATCCTTTTTTTTGTTTTTTGCTGAGAAAGATTCACCCTGAGCTAACATCTGTTGCCAATCTTCCTCTCTTTTCTTTCTTCCCTTCCCAAAGCCTCAGTACATAGTTGTATATTCCTGTTGAAGGTCTTTCTAATTCTTCTATGTGAGCCATGCCCCAGCATGGGTACTGACAGACAAGTGGTGCGGTTCCATGCCTGGGAATCAAACCTGGGCTGCCAAAGTGAGCGTACTGAACTTTAGCCACTGGGCCATCAGGGCTGACCCAATCCTTATTTTTTTCAACATAAAGATAATTTCAGGATATAATTTTTTTGTCTGAGTACAAAGTTTGCTTGAGTGTCTCATATAGTGTATATTCACACTATAACTGCACGCTTGTAGCTGACTGAGCATTGCTCTCTCATAGTTGTCATATTTGTATTATAATCTTTTATATATTTATAAAACATCTCATAAAGATTAGGATATCTTCCTCTTTAAATAATTTTTATATCCCCAAAGAACCTAGCACAGCTTTTTGCCCTTCGTAGAATCTCATTAAATATGTGTAAAGAAAAGTTATGGAAGGCATGGAAGTTGCCAGAGTATCTAACTCAAGGAAGTCTATGCGCAGCTCCCCACTTATCTTCTGAGAATCAGGTGATGCTGGAAAGCTGAATGCTCAGTGGAGGTGGCGCTAGTACCCGGTCAGGGAGGGGAGATGAGAGGAGAAGCTGTGGCATCGGATTTAAGCAAGATGGATCTGGGCTCCACTTCCAACCTTTCCACTTACCAGCTATGTGATTTTTCTTCTCTGAACCTCAATTCATTCACAAAGTAGGTTAAAAAAAGCACACAAGGCTGTTCTGAGGATTAAATGAGATAATGCTTGAATGTGCCTGGCACACAAGATCTCCATAACCATGAGCTCATAGCATTATTGTTATGACCATCATTGTTACAATCAGGACAGAATGATAAGTGGTCAATAACTGAGGAGCAGATGCCAGGTGACGGGAAGAGGAGCTGGGACAATGACAAGAAAGGGAAGACGTTAGCCCAATCTTAATCCAGAGGTCTTGGAGACACCGGTTATTTAAGGAGATTTTAAATTCTTTCCCAGTTACAGTGTCATTTCTACAGGTTGGGTCTATATTTTGTTTCCCTTTTGCTAAATAATGTTACTCCAAACCTCTCAAGAGAGTGCCTTTCCCACTCAGTCCACCCAAAAGAGGGGCCCAGGGATGGAATGGGTGGGCGGAGGCGAGACGGGGCGGCAGCAATGCAGCCACCAGCTGGTCTGTGAGTCCCCGTCATTGGAAAGCTTCAGCTTTAAGGGTTATTCACGTGGACAGAGGAAGCGTCCCCTTTGGCGTTCTTTTGTGGATGAAATGAAGTCAGGGCAGGGGTAGCTGCACTTCATCACTGTCCCGCTTGGCCAGAGATCTCAGAGGCAGCACGGGCTCCAGTGCCAGACAGCCAGGTTCTAACCCTGCTCCTGCCATTGACTAGCTGTGTGGCCTCAGACAAGGTGCTTAACCTCTCTGTGCCTCAGTAAAAGGGGAAACTTACAAACATTTATATAGCACTATTTTAAGTGCTTTATAAATGTTAACCTATTTAATCCTTTCAACAGGTGTAGGAGGTAGGTCAGAGAGAGGATGGTGAGGATTAAATGGTGAGTATATTTAAAGTACTTACAGACCCTGTTTGGCGCATTGTAAATGCTATATAAGAATGAGCTGCTGTCACCATCATTATTGTAAATGACATCTACACATTGGCTACAGTCATCATCACCATCTGCCTCAGGGCGTTCTGTTGCTGTATAGCACCTGGAGGCATGTTCTCCTCATTCCACCACTGAGTTCTCTCCCCTGTTCTCAGGCCCACTGAGTCATTTTAGTTTCTCGTCCACATTCTTGCCATCTCCATCTCACAATGTCAACATTTACCCTCCTCGTGTCCTAAGACTCTACTTCTCCACCTAATTTAAATGAGCGCCAGCTCTCGTCAGACCGACAGGGTGCCGAGGATAGTGTTAGGTATCCTCACCCACACACAGTCTGGGCCTCAAGTGATCATAACCAGCCTGGTCAGAAAGCTGAGATTCAAACATCCATCCATTTGCCTCTACAGCCCACTCTTGTCCTATTACAGCACGTGCCCTTAAGCCATTCCACCTTCCAAACATATTTACCCATCACTCTCAAACACTGAACTGCTTTGTTTACAAGGCATATCTTCCAAATTTTTAAAACAAAGAATCATGCCAACTTGATGTATTTATATATTATTCTCAGTTTTCTGTATGTTTGCAATTTTTTGAAAAAATGATGTGTGAACTGCTTTGTAGCATGTAATATGCCTTCTTGACAAACAACAGTTTCTCATTCAAGCACATAAACCTTCTGAGATGATTATGCCAATCAAGATGTCTTACTATACACATTTTAAAGCAACATCTTGAAATAGAGAAAAGTTAAAAACAGCCTGAATGTTTAATAAATGTGAATTGTTTAAATACACATTAGTAAATCCAGACAATGGAATAGTTTGAAGCCATAAAATGATACTAGATAAATAAGTTTAGTGAAAAGAGTGTATTTGATGATATATGAAATGGAAAAGGCTGGTTACAATGTGTCTGTAGAACAGGATGCAATTTTACACATCTGCAAGGATATATATCAATGGGATCACAATGGCTGATTTGTAGTGAGAGGGAAAATTCATTTTTTAGGTGTTCTCAGTTTTGCTCTCTGTATATTCTAATTTTTCTCTGTAACAAGTATGCATTGCTTTTATAATATCAAAAAACAATAGAAGAAACTACGTTTTGGTGGAAAACACAGTTAGGCACGGAGCTCTACCAGCTGAAATGACCCTCAGTTAAACCTTTTAATCTGCTGTCTCATCAGGCTGTGCATCTGTTTGATAGATGGCTCAGTTGCCTCTGGCCTGTCATACTGTTATTTGCTTTGAACTCTAAACATCTGGGTGGCAAAGGCTATAGCTGTCTAATATTGCTCTTTTAGTGTTTGAATATGTACAGAAAAATACGTCAAAATTCTTCTGATCATCGGGATGAATCGAAAAGAACTAGTCCTATGTGTTGAAGGCACAATCCACCTCTTAAGCTTGGTGCCTCAAGAGAAACAAAGGTTGACCCATGTGACCCTGCTCTGTCCCCATTCAGTAACATCTTCCAGAGTACAGCACACTGAGCACCCTCAGCCATGTTGAAAACAACCACAGATGCGGGCTCCTGAACTGCCTTGCATTTTCTTCCTGCTATAACTGGAATTTCTTACCTCTTTGCTTCAGTACATACATTAACCACATGCATTAACAATTTTCGAAGTTCTCATTTTTCTTATCATTCTGAAAGTACACTTTATATATTAAAAGATAATGAGCCCATGTTGAGGAAATAGTGAAGAGCTCTTTATACTTTTGTTGTTTTTTTTAAGATTTTATTTTTTTCCTTTTTCTCCCCAAAGCCCCCCAGCACACAGTTGTATATTCTTAGTTGTGGGTCCTTCCAGTTGTGGCATGTGGGATGCCGCCCCAGCGTGGCCCAACGAGCAGCGCCATGTCCGCACCCAGGACCCGAACCGATGAAACACTGGGCCGCCTACAGTGGAGTGCACGAACTTAACCACTCGGCCACGGGGCCAGCCCCTATAGTTTTGTTGAATTTATATTTTATATTTTTATTTCCTGATTCAAATCAGAATGGTGGCTAGTATTGAGTTCACTTCTACAGGAGAGAAAGACTGGAGATTGTGCCGGCTCAAAACAAAAATGTATCTGAAAAATGAAAATTTCAGCTAAACATCCAGATATTATAGCTTTGTAATGTCAAATACATGAAGAACTTGGTTGGGGGGGCGGTTTACTTTTTGCTTTTTTCTTAGTTGACTGGCATTATGTAAAATGCCTCAGTGGAACTGAAAAACTCTCCTGCACTTCAAAAATGAAGGTAAAACAAGTTTAACTTTTTGCTTGTATCTTTCTCCGAGGCCTGTGGAAAACATGAAGGGCACAGGTTAAGGTATTAAAAGGCATGTGTTGGTAAATAAGAGTTGTAGGAACTGACATAACTGAATATGAAGAGATATTTAAAGGCTAAAAACATTTAAGAAAAATTAGCCTGGAAAAGAAAACAATAGAGGTGACTTAACGATTGGTTCCAAATAAATAACAGGATGGGAGAAAGAAGAGAGTGACTGTCTTATTGCCAACCCCACTTTCTCATGAGAATTGGCTTCAAGCCCTGTCATGTCTTGGAGCTGACATAGCTCAATGCCAGGCACATCGTGAATGCCCTTCAACACCTCCTTTTCAATACACTTCCCATATGCAGGTACTGTGTGACCACCTGAGGCAGGTAAACAGATCTGCACCAGGCTACCATAGAGGCAAACCCAGAATGTTCCAAAATGAGGCCATTAATAAGCCAGGCAAGCATCCAGGAAGAGAAGCTGTGTCAAAAAGCATCGTCTGTCTGAGTCGAGTTTGAGGGTGAAGAGAGATTGCTCAAGTGAATAGAAGGAAGAATTCCAGGGATCCCAGGGAGAGGGAACTGCATGTTCTAGGGCACTAAGTTATCATGATGTGCTCAGAGGATACACTTCTTTGTGACAAAGAGTAGGATATGTAGCAAGAGGTGGCATTGCAGAATGAGGCCCAGCCCACATTAGCAAAGTCTTCCTTGTATGCTTCGTTAAGAAGTTTGCGTTGTGCCTCCAAGGCACTTGTAGAACCTTACAGTAAGAACTTTTTACAGGGAGATGACATAATGGTATTAACATTTTAATGTTCAAGATATTATTCTGGCAACAGGAGGAAGAATAGATTGGTAAGGAAGTAACGCTGGAGGCTGGTGCAATATTCTAGATAAAAAAAAATTATTAAGGGGGCCAGCCCAGAGGCACAGAGGTTAAGTTTGCACCTTCCACTTTGGCGGCCAGGGGTTCACCGGTTCGGATCCTGAGTGCGGACCTATGCATGGCTTGTCAAGCCATGCTGTGGCAGGCGTGCCACATGTAATGTAGAGGAAGATGGGCATGGATGTTAGCTCAGGACCAGTCTTCCTCAGCAAAAACAGGAGGATTGGTGACAAATGTTAGCTCAGGCCTACTCTTCCTCAAAAAAAAAATTATTAAGAACTGAATTAAGGCGTGACTATAGGGATGGAGAGAAGGAAGCAGAGTCAAGCAATGAGAAGCAGTTAGCATTGACTGGACTTGTGGATTGCTTTGGTGAAGGTGAAAGAGGAGGAGAAGAGTCTAGGACAATCCCTGGTTGTTGCCTTGGGCAACTGGGTGGATGGCAGCACAGTTTCCCAAAATAAGCAATACAGCATTCGGAGGCGGGTGGTCAGGGGCGATAACACATTTAGTTTTCTAAGCACAGAGTTTATAGAACCTATAAATTGTCTAAGGAAGAAGTTGTATTTACTAGAATGTAAGATCCATGAAAGCAGGGACTTTCTCAGCTTCGTTCAACCAATCAGATGTGGTTTTCAACATAATCATTGCTTAGCACAATACCTAGCAGATGACAAATGCACAGTAAATTCCAACTGAATATGTGTTCTTGGATAAATTTACGAGTCTGGATCTCAGGACAGTGTTGTAGGCAATTATTCAATGCTCTTTTGTTTCCTTGCACAGAAAATTCTAGAACTTCCTCTGACGTCCACCAAGACCACTTTACATCCAGAAATATGGTGATTCTGGTCCACTCCCAAAAGGGTAAATTACAAAAAACCTTACTAAGATTCCTAATGGTGCTATTACTCTTTGTTAACAGATATAAGCAGGGTTGTTTGTTACTGACAGAAGAGGAAAAACTGCAAAATAAATTTTGGAAGTGGTCAGACTAAGCAGAGTGAATGATAAAGTCATGGCATTGGAGTGAGCCTCTGATAACTTTTAATCAGATGTGGCTTTCAAGTTGCTATGAAATGGCTAAGAGAGCCAAGCATAATTGTTGAGGATGGTCATGGTCCATATCTACACCAAGAACACTAGAAGGGATTGCTGCATTCGAATGAGAAGCGGTGAGAACTGCATAGCCCAAGTAGAAATCTGGAAAGACTTTAAGAAAAAAGAAAGAAAACAAACTTCTAGTAAACGGCGCTGCTACTTGGAGAAATTGGAACAAATCTTCTTTGCCAGAGAAGCTTGAATTACCTGCCTAGCCCTTTAAGCATTTTCATGTACAAATCAAACACAGATGGCCCATTACGTTTATGACCTCCTGTCAATTACTCTAGATGGAGCATGCATTAATTATTGAAATATTTTCATAGTATACAGGTTTTTAGTGGTTACATTGCCATAGATAATTTCAACTTTCTGATTAGAAGCCGGTATAAACAATTTTATTTATGAGAATTAATCTCTTGAATGTAGTAAAAGCTACAAATACAGTAGTGGATTTTTTTTTTTCTATTTAACAAAGCCAAACAAGAAATCCTGGCCTCTATCCTTGGAAGTCAGCATTATGTTAGCATTGCATACAATACATAAACTCTGCCAAAATCTATTACAATTGTAGTAAATTTTGATTACTGGAGTTGTTTGTTATTTATGTCTCAAAGATAAAGATAATATTGGGAATGGCCCTCTTCTATTCGATGTATAAATTACATCCATAAAATACCTTGTTTTGTAAACAGTAAAATAAAAATAAAAACAAGATGAAACTTGGTTGAAGCTTCAAATGGTTGCATCTACTTTAGTTAAAGTCAATAAACACTTGAGATGATGCAGAAGTCCACAGAATGTTCAGACTTTTAACTGGGCCACTAGCTTTTGTCTAGCATGGTAAACAAAATGCTGGGGCCAGTTAATGTTAAAGAACAATGAGAACATGCTGATGAAGCAGCACTTTCAGAGAACATGGAGAAACACTTTGAGGGAATTTAAAGAAAGACATGTATTTTCTATCATTCTAGAAGGAGGCTACTCATTCAACAACTCAGTCAAGCACCTACTGTGTGCTGGAAACTTTTCTAGGCATTTGGAGTACGTTGGAGAACAAAACCAAGATATCTGCTCCTACTAGTATAGATTCTAACAGAATTGATAGCCTCATTTAATCCTTTTTGCACAGAAAGGAAAGGTGAAGCTCAGAGAGGTGAGCTAACTTACCTAAGATCACCCAGCAAGAAGATAGTAAAGCCAGAAGAACCCAGGCCTTTGGAGCCCATATTCTTAACCCCCATCTCTCTCGTGTCTTTTCCATTTCTAACTCACCTTTTTCTGGGTCGTTGAGAAGTTAATACTTAAAGGTAGTTGGCCGACTTTCTTCAGTAGAATTCTTCAGGTAGGCAGACTAACCCTAAAAGAAAAAAATTAGTTGTCTGTATCTCTTCTCTCTGAAATTCACCATAGCAAAGAATGTTTAGGCAAAGACCGGTATGAACCAGATAGGCATCAGAGGAATGCTGATTTCACAGCCCAGTGGGATGAGGTGGCCCTAGAGGCAGAAGGCAGAGTCAGCATGCAATCCTTGGCTTCTTTCTCTGGCCAAAGTCAAACAGGTCTTGAAGACTAGAATTCTAGTGAGGCACAAGTGGAGAGCACTGATGGCACTCTGCTTTCATGGTGGGTTTGCACAACCTAGAAGAGAGCAATTCCCACATACCTTGGCAGCAATTAAGCCTGGAAAAATATGGTTCCCAACCAGAATCATACATGGAAATTCAGCATATGTATCAGGGGAAACTCAGCTAGCTGTGAGCAATGCTGACATTTTGGACCCCTCTCAAAGACATTCATAAGAAACAGTGCTAATGGGGAGAATTCATGTAAAAATTAATGACATGTTAAATGCTGCTCTACAAATTTTGGATGTTCATTTTGCCCAATTAAAGAGTAATGTATTTTCCTACCACTGATAAGAAAACTCTCTCATGTTTATTTAGCACTTCATATTTTTTTAAAACTTTTTGCTATTGGTGAAAGAGAGAAGGTCAGAGACGTCAGATGACTAGTCTGAGGTCACATCAAATTTGCCCTAGAGCTGTCTAGAACCTAGGCTCACTGGTTTACAACCTCAGGCTCTGGACACTCTTTCAGGCTTCTTATTTGATTCTCACCAAAGTAGACAGAGAAGGTATTATGGTGTCCATTGAGCACATGAGAATCTGAAGCTCAAGGACACAGGACAAGTCAGTGCTCAATTCAGTTCAAAAAGAAGTAACCAAGCATACAAAGTCCATGAAGGGTGTATTGGTGAGAAGGAGGGCGTAGGTAGGAGAAGCCAAGGCATGCAAGAGTAGAAAACGGAATATGCAACTATAGAATCAGGTACAAGGTCAAGAAGTTGTACCGAGGTGAAAGGAATTAATTTCGTCTCGGATTGAATAAAAGTACAACTGGTTACAAATACACCTAACTGTGTTGTAATCAAAAATATTGTGAGAGGTTATGCAACATCTAGAGCTGTTGTTTCTTATGAGAATTGTGTAATAAAACTATCTGGGAAGATTGAAAAAATACAGTCTTGTGCTTAGTGACTCAGAGACTTTGGACATAGAGCACAGGAATCTGGTTTTTCACCACTATATTGGGAGCTCTTGGTCCAAAACCTTGCTACTCAAAGTGTGGTCAGCAGTATCAGCAGTACCTGGGAGCCTCTTAGGAATGAAAACTCCCAGACCCTATCCAGGCATACAGAATCAGAACATGCAATTTAATGAGGTCCCCAGGTGATTTTCTGTACACATTACAGTCTGCAGAACGCTGGTCTACAGCATCCCTCTCCTACTCTACATTCACCTTATCAGAAAAAAATGTCAGCCTGACATAGATTACTCATAGCGAACCTATGAAGGATGCAAGTGAGCTCTGTTTCTATCTCCAGCTTCCTTCCCAGTCTAATAGTCTAGATTTCCATCACCCTCTGATAAAGAATTACAAAATATCCAATTAAATTTTGTTGAAACTCAACATCTAATTCATGGGCTTTTGCATGTTTCAAGCATTTCTAAAATTCACCTTCGAAATATTTCGGAAAGTAAATCACCATTTGCACATCGCTAAATTGCCAGTAATTTTTCCAATTTCCACAGTGCCTCAAAGATTGGTAAAGCATTTTGGAATCCTATCCACTAGGTTTCTTTGCCTTCTCACAAGATAATCAATCCATAACGATTGGGACAGCTGGGTGTGTTTACAACATGTGGGGAAGCTGCAATGAGTTTTTCCCTTGTGCTGAAGCTTCAGGTTCTTCTTACAAGTGTTTCTTTAAACCAGGCTCCTTGAGCAGAATCAGGGCAGTTTCTCCTTGTTTGCAAATGCAAGGTGTACTCTTTCCTACTTTGGGCGACCCCCTCCAGCCAGCATGCTGGATAAAGGAACAAGGAATGCCCCTCTTCCAATCTAACTCTCACCACTCAACTATGAGCAAAACGGCTAGCATAGTGCTTGGATTTCTATATCCACTCATTATCATAACATTAAAAGAAGTTTTAAAGAAATAAAATTACTTGCAAGTCTACCATCCTGACAAGTTGATGGTCCATATACATATCAAGTTAAGTTTACATACGAGTTTGCCTTTTAACTTTCCTTAAGAGTTCATAGAAAACATTTTTCAATATTGCTATAGACTTCATAGCATTTTAATGCCCACATAATATTGCAATATTGATATGCTATGTGTATGTAATCAATCTACTACTCTTGGACATATAGTTGGCTTCCAATTTTTCATTATTAGAAATAAATTCTAAAAGGTAACTAAAGAGATTTTAGAGATTCAATCCCAATCATCCTTAAAGAAAAGAAATTTGACAATTATCCTTAAAGAAAAGAAAAAGTTGGCCCATGGCCAGGATTACTTTGCTAACTTCCATTAAGCTACTCAGAAGTGTATACCATTAGTCACAAGGAGGAACAGATAGAAAAGTAGAGAGAAAACTATATAAAATCGATCCTTTTTAATCTTTAAAATCAGCTGAAAGTACGTGTTCTACTGAGAGACCCAAAAGCATCATTTTCTTCTATGAATTACTATACATAATGTAGAGTAAATATATTATTAATATATATGGGGTTAGCTTTGTTGCACTTAATGGTTCAGAGTTACACACAATTCACGGGTTACGTAGTAGGCCATTTCCTGATTAGATGGCTGCAACAGAGTAGAGCTGAAGAGAGACTTGCTGTAGCCTAACTTTTTAATATGGGTGTAATTTGATTACATCTCACTTTGTGTTTTAGACAGTAGAATTGAAAACGCATTAACATCCATCACTTAGAATCTGCTTAACCTTTATGTAGATTATACCAGTCCAACCATTTCACTTAGAACTAACCCAGCATCTGACGTTTGTTTTCCCTTCCCTGTTCCAGCACCTGTCGTAGTCCCCCCAGTAATGGTGACCCTGGCTTTGGTGGAGCATGAGGAAGATGGTAGACGCCACAGGAAGTAGCCCAACTTTGAAGGCAGGGTCTTCTCTGGAGTTGAGGAAAAGGCATTCCAGCCATGGGAAGAGCAGAGAGGTAGGAACGTTTAGGGAATCGTGACCATTTGTTTTGCTAAGTAAAAGATATATAAAGGAAGAGAAAGTACATTTTCAAAGACTGGTTTGGGGACAAATCATGGAGGACTTTGAATAGCGGGACAAAGAATCTGGATAATAAGAAATTATTTTAAGCAAGAGCTAATCAAAACCAGATTTGTGTTTTGATAAGATTTAGCTGGGTAAAATGGATGGTAGAGAGAAGGGCCTACTGAAACAAGTGAGTATGGAGCTACCATATTTGGAAAAAAAAGCTGGTGAGGGGGTTCCAAATGAAGAGGCAGCAATATGAACAGGGAGGAGGACATCGGTGCACGGTACAGTGGAAAGGAACAGAAATTGACCGAGCAAAGGAGAATAGGAAAGTTATCTTGGCAAGTTGTCCCCAGGACAATCTCCTTCCTGGGCCCTCAGTCCTAAACCAACATCACTCTGTTACAATGCTATCTTCTAAAACAGTAAAAATGTGTGAGCCTCAGGTATAAAGCTGGCTGAAACAATTGTTTGAATTCAGGCACCAATGTTATGATTGAAATGGAAATGTCATTGACTTTACCAACACATTTTTAAAGGACCAGTAGGTTTGGTTTTGTTTTCTGACCTGATGCTCCCCAATCTCTGAATATCTGGCCACCTCCAAGGGCCTGAGAAGCCCAATTTCTAAACATCTGGCCAGTGATTAGGCTGCCTGTCCCAGCTCACCCTAAAAGAAGGAAAAGTCAATGGCAAAAGCACTTTGGATGGTTTCCAAATTCTTGGAGAAGCAAAGGCAAAGTTTTTAACAAAGAATGAAAGTGGCCGAGTGTGAGAAAGTTTGAGTTGAGAAAAGTCGTATTAGAGATTCTGGTAGGACTGTCATTCAAAATTAAAATTGCTAGATAACTGGGCAATAACTAGGAAAATATAAAATAGGCATACCCAGAAACTTCACTGTAAGTACCCATGCTAGAAAAATACTCACAGCATATGAGCATTACGAGTATTATGCAGATGAGCATATGAAAAATACTTCAGTACATAAGGAAGTATGTACAAGGATATGTGCTGCAGGGCTGTGTATAATAGCAAAAAGGTGGGAGGAATCTACATGCACATTGTATGGGAATAACTCCATGAGCACTGGTATAGCCGTACCATGGGAAATTCTAGAAGCAATATAGAAAATGGTGTGTAGCTGTTTCTACTAAGAAGGTAAGATCTCCAAGACACTGGCGAGGGAGAATACCAAGTGCACAATGATATTTACAATATGACACATGTTTTAGAGTTTCGTTTTGATAGAAAAAGGACTAGAAAGATGTACACCTTTGCTAAAATAGTCACATCAAGGAAGACGGAGAAAGCCACTGGGTTTGGAAGTGGTGGCAAGGGGGACTTGAGCCTTATCATCTAATACGTTAATATTTACAAGGAGAGTAAATGTATGGCAATTATTTTGCATTTCAAATTTATCTCAAAATTTTTAAATACTTTGATTCTAAGGAATCGCTTTCTCCCCATCAACTATCAGGTCTTATACCAAAGACATCTTTCCTTTAAAATGATTTATTTAAAAAAAAGTCAGTGAGGTTTAAAGCAGGAATTAAAAGTTGAATAGGAATAGAACAGGTAGATAGATAGACAGAGGATTGATAGATAGACAGACAAGCAAACCTCCATTGGCCAATCTCCTTCAGAGCTACCGATTTTATGCAAGATTACCAGGGTCACTCTGTGCAATACAATGGTGCAGCCCCCACAGCTTAAATAATGTGGCAAAATACATATCAACTGGCATGCCACTGATTTGCCAATGCAGAAACATCCTCGT